TGTGAGCTAAAATTATTTTTCTGCAGATGATTAAAAAACTTTCCCTTTTTAAATGATAGGTAATGCTGAAAATTGAGTTGGGCAGATCTCATCTACTGCACATTTTGCTAGTAATAATGGGAAATTCTGAAAATTCATCCTGTTGCTACCATAACTCAATAGATGTTAGTTGGAAGACAGCAGTGGGTAAGAAAATATAGTTCAGTAAAAGCAAACAGACCTTTTATGAAAAGGCTCCCCCACTTGATGTAATGCTACTCTATTGTAATGAACATCTCAGTTTTACACATTGTGTCTTTAAATAAAAGTACCATATTCTTCATTCCAGAGCTGTTAACCCCAGTGGGCTTCCTAGAGCTTAGCTACTTCTCTCTTGCCTTAATTTATTGAATGTAAGTGAAGCTAATAAGGAAAAATGCATTTTACTCTAGACCTTTTCCGCAAACCTCGAATATGAATATTCTAAGCTGGTGGCTCCTTCCCTTGTGATCTGTTTTGCTTGCACAGACTGTGTACCACAATTGTCTGTCCCCTTCTGTCTTCATCTGTGTGCTCAATGGCCAACAACTTTTAATAGCCATTGTGTTCTGCAGTGTGGTGCCTGTTACTATGATGTGACCTGTTCTATGTTGCACTTGTTAACAGACACAAAGCCAAAATGTCAACATGTTTGTAAAGATGTCTTGGAAAGATGACTTAAACCTTTAGTGTGTTGTGATACTGGTAAACGCAAAGTGGTGCTGAGAAAAGCATTGCTTGGCCAGGTTTATTCTGAAAGCTCGGAACTGTGTCCTTAAGCAAGTATGTTTGTGTGACGTTTCAGCTTCTTTTCATTTAGCAGAGCACAAAGTTTTTTGGGTTTTTTTTGGTCAGGCATGACATAAGTAAACATTTTGAAATGAAATATATAAGTCCCCAAGCAGTTATTATTTTCTGAAGTACCTGGATTGTGGTTTCATTTTTCATTAATAGTCATTGTTTCAGACTTTGCTTCTTATAAACTTCATTTTCATGAGGATGCATTAGGCTTTTGATTGTGCTTCTGGGAAGAAAAGAGAGGAACTCTTTGAAGGTAGAGTATTGGGCCAAAGACTGCTTTCTCTTTAGTTTTTACGATTATTTGGCAGTACTGTAGTCTCATAACATTAGCAGGCAGTGCCCAGTGCCTGAGAGTCTGTGGTAATGTTTTGGCCCTGTTCTCATATTAAGGCCCAACCACTCCTGCTTGCTGCTGATGTGCATCTGTTGCCTTGTGTCGCCATCCACCTGCGGGGGCTTTGGTCTGCAGCCATCGCACCGAGTCTGCTGCCCATCGAGGACATCATTTTGATTTAATTGGGAATTAATTGTGTGACAGATGCACATGAGTAGGGATCACAAGAGGTGTTTTGAGTGTGCATATGTATGAGAGTGCTGAGTGAATATATTCAACTGTACAGTCTTGCTTGGGTCCTGCTGTCACTGGTCACTGGAGGAGTCTTTGCAGAAGATAAAGTGAAAGGTGTTCTCTAATCGAATTTCAGTGCACTTGGATGATAAAAGCAAAGTACCTTGTTGTGCCTTTCAGAAGTTTTTCAATATCTATTTTCAAAAATTGGGTGAGAAAAATAATGAATGGTGAAATGTAGTTTAAGACTTAATTTAAATGATGTTTCCTAATGAATACTACTGCATTAGGAACTAGGCTTTTCCCACCGGTCTATGGGAGCTCTTTGAGTGTACTGTATCCAAAACTGCTTTCCTATTCTGTTTCTCTGGAGAGTTAGCTTGGTACCTTCTCACTGAAAGGTCCTCTTTGTTTGTGTGACTTGCTTGGCCTCTCTAATGGGATCAATTGCAAACTCTGTCCATCAAAATCAGGACTGCTGTATTCCCCCCTCCTCAGTGATGTTGATTATCCAGTTCCATGGAGAGCTGATGAAGCTCACTAATCTGCAAAAAAGCCCAAAACAACTAAAAATATAGTTAACTCTTGTAGTAGGTGGCCTTCTGTCAATTTCTGAAGTTGGACTGGTTCAGCTGGGGCCGAGTATAAGACTGACTGTGCTGGTCTAAAGGGGACAGAAGGAGGGTTTGTGTCTGCCAGGGCAGTGAAATTGCAATAGCTCCTCTTCACATTGGCTTAAACTTGTTGCAGTTCCTTTGTGCCCCTTTGGGTAAACAAGCATCCATAAGGTACAGCCATCACTTCACTTGCCAGGCTTCTTTTAGGGTAAATGTAAAGTTTTATGAAGACAGCCATGTATTCGCTGCCACTAGCATTTCTAGGTGTGCCTTCAAATGTCACAGGTTTGGGTTTGGTGTGTTATGCTCATTGAACTGAAAATACACTCCATTAGAGCAGCTGGTTAGCAGACTAGTCTGTTTGTCAGCCAGAAGATCTCTGGAGCAGTGCTCTGTAAAAAAACCCCAACAGATACATGTCTGAATGAACAGGTTATTCTCAAACGTGTTGCTTACACACACTACTGTACTTTCAGAAGGGCTTAGTTTTTCATAACTTGAAGCAATATTGCATTTCTTATGGTAGTTCTAGCTTGTAATGCATTCTCAGTTCAGAAACTGTTGAAATGTAGAGAGTGTCGAGGTGCTGAATTGACACTGCTCACAACTGTTGTTGCGTATAGAAAGGTGTTGTTTAAAAGAAAAAAAAACACATACACACATACAAGGAAAAAGCCTTCCTGTTTGTTTATATCTTGGCTTAACACTTTTTACATAATTTTAAAGAATTTCAGTGTTGCTAAAATATTTTCTTGACACCTCTCAATGGGGAAGAAAGGATATTTTACAGTCATTATAGTATTGGTTTGAGCTTTGAATTGAGCTTATCCTTCTTTTAAGTGATACCTTAAATCTCAGTGTAACTTTGGTGAGGAGTAGTGCCAGGCTGTAGAGCTAGTCTTTGACGTGTGTTTAGAGATATGGTTTTAACTGTAGAATTAAGATTTTGTTAAAGCCTATGTAAAGTAACTTCCTTTGGGTCTTAAAACTCATGAAGTTTAAAAAATTAGAAGATAAAAAAATAGAAGGTAAAAACAGTGCAACTTTGTGATTATAGATAAAAATTGTTCTGTTTTCTGTGTACATTTCTTTCTCAACGTTTGTTAGGTGTAATTAGAGGAAGAGAGAGAAAATCGAACAATTAACACACCACATGTACAAAAAAAAAACAAACCTCCATTCTGTAAGTGTTATACTCAACAAGAATTTGGTTTTGTCCCATCTATCTTTTTTATGTAGATAGCATTTACTCATTTATATTGCATTTTGAAAAACTTGTACCCACTAATAGATACATGCTGCTGTTTTTTCTTTTAAGCTAAATGTATGTATGTTTGTTGTTGCATCTCTTGGTAACCTGTCCTTTCTTTCAAAAAATATTATATGTTTTGCACAGTTTAACCCTACACGTGTATATGGGGTGATTTGAAATCTCTCCATTATCAAGCAACAGAATTACAGTATATATTAATGATTTGGGGTTGTTTCTTTTCTAGAAGAAATAATCAGCTTCCCCTTCATGTCTTGCTAGGACAACAGCTGCAGATGAGATTGAGCTTCCATATTTAATACATTCTATTAACTTCACACATCCAAACACACACTGGCTCACTCCCTCCCGCACCCCAGTGTCACATTAGAGGTGAGCAGGCCCTAATTAAAAGCACACACCATCTGCCGGAGTGCTGTGGCAGAGTGGCACTCCACAACCATCCTGATTCCTGTGATTGAAATGTATTATTTATGAGCTCAAAGACAAAATACGCTGCATGGCTGGTGAAGGCTGCATTAGGAGCTGGATAGCACCATCTAATGGAATGGAGTGCCACTGGCTATTCATCTTTCCTCTTCTTCCTCCCTCCTCAGTCTTTTCACCCAGTAATTTTATTTTTCAGTCTTGTCCTTGGATTTTCTGTGATAGTGTTTCAGACAATTTTGCCTCTCGTGTTCCACTTTTATTCAAGATTGGAAAGGGTTTTTGAAATATTAATTTAATTGTGGGGGAATTTTGCAGCCTTTTGTTTCCTTTCAGTGCCCCACATAGGGTTTTACTTTCTGTAGGAAAAGTGATACTGATGTGGTGGTACAGAGGAACATGAGGAAGATAGATGAGCAAGATCAGTTTACTGCATTTCTCCAGTTCCTCCCAAGGACTCATGTAATGGTGTCCACTGCTCCATCTGAAAATTTAATTTTCGTGTGGAAATTTGTCCTGACTGGCGGGGGAGGGAAGGCAGGATGACAGTACACTGCAGACTGAGTGAAAGTTCTTCACTGTGCTGGAAAGAAAGTGCAGGATTTGGGGAAAAATGCAGCTTTGGACCTTCTCTCTGCAAGCAGAGATCATAACATTTTCCAGCTTGCAGAAATCATGTTCTATTATTGCTTCTTAGTGGGGAGATGGATGAGGAGGTGTTGGACTGAGGGGTGAAATACATCTTGTCAGGAGAGGAAAAGAGTGACAGGAAAGGAGCCCTTTTTGTTTTAACTGGTCCATCAATCTACCTTTGTTGACTGCTAGATTACAACACTGCATCTAGTAGAAATGTATATTGTGACAATGACCTTTTGAATATGCAGGTTAAGAACAGTCACACTGATTCAAAGTGATCGGGGGAGTGATTTTCTGGTCCTTAGCCTTTTTGTCACGTTCTTGAGTTTTGCAGTATTCCATGCTGGGCATCCAGCAGTATGGCTTCAGCACAAACAAGCAGTTAGGATTGGTACTTGAAATACGACATTTTTCTACAGTAGTATCTAATAGAACCACTTTTTTTAAAATTACCAGATCTGATCACTACTTTAACTTGGGCAAGACAAAACCCTGAATAAAATTATATGTGTCTAAAACTGAGCAAAATAAATAAATAAATATATATATATATATATGGGAGGTGTGCATTTTATTTTTTGTATCAGTATGTTTTAAAGAATGTTGAAATGACATAAATCATGGCATGTCTATGAATGCATGTCCTCTTATTGTTTGTGTTTAGAACCTACGCCATCAGAAGGATAAAAGATGCCTTTAGAGAAAACAAGAACATATCAGATTCTGAAAAAATAGAAGAGCTAGTGAATAAAGCCAAAGCAAACCTAGAGGTTATTCAACGGCAGGTATGTTAATTTCTCTAATTTTTTATGGGAGGTATTCACTACTCATTTAACTGTCTTATAACACTAGAGGTGGAAAAAAATGTTTCCTTGTTCAAAACATCTCTAGATGAGCATCAGTTTTTGTCTGAATTTGTTCATCTTTTCATCATAGATTCAGAGGGGCAACTTTGGCACTCACTCCAAATAGTCTCACTTTCTTCTTCTGTGTTTGTTTTTTCCCATCTCCAAATACAGTGTTAGAATGGTAACAGAACAAGAAAATCCTGAAGTGAATTAAGTAAATGCTGGCTAAATGTGTCCAAACAGGGTGATAGGTTTTTCTTTGGAAAATTTGAGTCCTTTGCGATATTTTTCTTCAACCTTGTCTGAGTAGCATTTATAGCATCTCTGTTTCTTCCGCTAGGTACCATGTTACTAAGAAATGAAGTAGACTTGGTTGAACTTCAGATACTTTTTTAACTTCTCATTCTTAGCCACTGTCTATGAAAAGTGACCACTAAAAACTGGAAGAAAGCAAATTTCTATGCCTGAACTTTCTGTGAGAACATGCTGACACCAGCCAGAGCTCAGTAGTACTTTTATTAAACACTGAATGAATACGTGCACCTGTTCCTCCATGGTTTGTTTTAATATGGCTCTTTGAACAACCAGCAGGTCTGTTAGATGTGTTCTTATTTTAGTAGGGAGCTGGGCCCTTTGATTTGACAATTAAGTATGGATGCTTAGGTGCAAGTTATTTTTTTTTTCATCTCCCAGGGTGTTGTTTTGTGCTACCATAGTTTTTGCTATCTTTTTTTAACCCAAACACTGCTAATTTTTTTTTAAGTGTTTCTCAAAGAAGCAATTTGGAATGGATTGTTCCAATGCAATTGCATTTGAATGTTGGGGTGTTTTGACTGAGATCTGTAGGTGATAATTGGCATTTTCAGCTCTTCTAATTCTTGCTTAAGATAAAGTCTTGCTAAATAAAAACTTTACAACTTTTTTTCTTACCAAAACATGATTATACTGATCTGAGTCCTAATAGATCTGGGACAGATTTTAAATTAAAACTCCTCTTTCCTCTCTAAGTCCTGTGTAAACCCAGATTACCTTGTTTCTGTAGATCCTAAAAAAAAGATACTATTTCTCTAAAACAGACTTCACAGGCTGGACTTTTGTCTTTGCACCTTTTTTGAAGTTTTCTTTTAGCCTAAAGATTTTCCCTCAGCATCAGTCAGCATCTTTCTGTTACGCATTTATTACTGTATCACTGGGACGTATCAGAATAATTCAGAATGGCCTCAGTAATTGCTAAGCCTGGAGGGTTTTGCATGTTTGTTTCAAACATCAGCTATTAAAGGGCCTTCTCCAACATTAAAAGCCAAATTGCTGAAGTTGGTTTTAAATTGGATCGCTATCATTCCATGGAAGAATTTCAGGGAATATATACTTGAAAAGCAAGGAGTATTAAAGACACTGACACAACTTTCCATTTTTAACACTGCTAAGACAGTCAAAGTTATGTTGAAATACTCTTTAATGTTGCACTTCTAGACATTTTCCAGAGATAGTGCAATCACACTTTTGGAAGGGTTTATGTTACATGTTTTCAAGAGTAATGGATAATAAATGTTATTATTCAGTAACATGATAGGCAATGGAACTTTGTAACAAAAAAAATCAGATAGAAGAAAATTATTTTACCAAGATAATTTTTGACATGCATCCCTGCAAGAGTTGATTGATTGGGTATTAAAGACTTTTTTTTCCTAAAAAATTGCAAATTGTTGTGCTTTGCAGAACTTCTGTTATGTTTCAGTGTCATCTCACTCCAAGGTGTAAAGCAAGAGATAAATGTTGTAAAAATAACAACACCATGTTAAAAGTTTTTCATCAGGACTATTAAAAACCTGAGCATCTAAGTTCATATTAATATTTACTTGCTGTCAAGTTACATCATGCTCTGTCGAAAAACTTCATTCTCCCTCTCTGTTTAATTGAAGACCTAAGTGATGAAGTCGTCTGACATTATTAAGACTTTCTATTTAAAACTAACCAAGCATAATAGAAAGTGCTTTTATTTTTAAGTGCAGAAGCACTGAAGCAAACATGAGATCTGCCATACATTTTTTTTGCTAAGTTTAGGGGTATTATGATGTGGTTCATCTTGGTATTGCTGACTTTTTTCTAGTATGTCAGTAAAAATTAAATAATATCCCTCTTTGCTGACAATTTGTTGTTACTCTAAAATCAAATTTATATTCACTTTACATTCTAATTTATGGTTTAGTCATCAAAGTGACCATTGAAGTGTAAGGTTCATAAATAACTATTTGAATCAGCCTAGTTGGAAACATGAAGTAGTGACAGATTACTATCATTTTGTTCATGTCAGTCACTGTACAATTTGCTGGAGTGTTATAGAAGTAACTTTATAATGCTGAAAAGCATGGAGGAACATTAATCTCCAATCTTAGTCCTCCTTTGCTTATTATTGGATTTGATTTTATAATAGCCTGGCTAACGGAAGGAACAACTCATTTACAACACTGTTGGCAAAGATTTTTTTGGATGTGTGTTTACTGTGTAGACAACAACATTTTGTTGTTTACACAGTAGTTGTTTTGTCTTTCATGTAGAGAAGGGTGTTGTGAGAAATGGGTTGTCACGAATAAGTGTGAAATAGAAAGTTTTAAAAAGTTTTGAGGTGAAGTCTTGAAGGTGTTTGAGGATTGTCATAACAGCCAATTCCCCAGCTATATAATATTATTTAATTTGTGAGTTTCTGTTACTATTAGTAATGTTAGTGTGTTAGTGGTAGGGGAGTTTGCACTGAAATGTACTGCTGCTGCTGAAATTTAAGATTTATGAAAGCCACTTTGAAGATTGACTAATATTGAGTGTTTTGAAGTATTCCTTATGCCATTCTGTCTGTCGGGTTTTGAACTGAAAACATAACTGTGAAGTTCAAAAGCTATAGTAGACATGTATGCTCTGATTAAAGCCTTGTTTTCATTTATAGGATGTCTCATTCTTCCATATTCCTCTGTAGTGCTTTCTCCTCAATTTTGTATTGTAGCTAGAAACTGCCAGTCATCTTGTTGTCCAGTTAAGAAGGATTATTTTGTTTTTCTTGGCAGCTCTGAGCCTTTGTTATCAATTTTACGATCAACAATTGTTGATCAATCAATTTTACAATTCATAATGTTAAATGATTTTAACATCACACAACTACAGTACTCTTCAATAAAAAGTTTTTAATATGCCACAGCTTTTGTTTGTCTCTTTAAATAATGCAAATCCTGGTTTGCACAAACCTTGGTCAGGGAGACAAGAATGCACCTTGCGTGCTCAGACAGTCAGGACTTGAGAATCTGCCTCCTTTACAGCTGGATAGTGGTCTGTGTTTTTTAAGGGAGCAGAAAAACTTTTCTTTTGGGTCTGAGCTGTTTTTCCTTAGGCTTGATCTCTCTTACAGTTCCCTTCATGAAGGAGTGTGGTGTTGATGCATGAAACCTCAGTTAGAAACGTTCCACTGATAATGATAAATACTGAGTACTTGCAGCATTTTTCATGTTTGCAGCATATTGTAAAGTACATTCTAATCCTTGAAATATGCATTGCTTGTAGTAGCTTTAGCTCCATTTCTCTTAATGAAATGCTTTATGACTATGCCTTGATAAAAGCCCACGTCATACTTAGTGTAAGATTTCATATTCTTATGTTCTTCCATAGTCAAAACTATTAGTATGGTTTTGTGCTGAAACTTGTGCAAAATAAGAACAAATCTTCTGGATCTTTTATTTTTCAGCAAACCAAGTTGCCAGTGCAGCTGTGTAGAGCCAAGTACTGTGCCTCCTTGAGGTTCACTAGCAGTATCTTATCTTGGCAATATTCTGAATTTGAGCAACATTTGAATGGAAATGGAAATTAAACTGAATCATTGTACTAATACAGCACTCATGTTATTATGAATTAATGACCATAAAGCCATAAGGAAACTTCCTGTTAATCAAAATAACATAAATATTAAAGCATGTTTAATAACTATTAGCAAAACAAGCAACTTCAATTATAGTTGCTATAAAAAATGAAAGGTAAAAGTACTACCCTAGTTTACTGCACCTGGTTTGAATTGACTGCTCAGCCTTTGGGCAGCAAATATTCCTATATTAGTAATTATCAGGGTGTGTGTACTTCGGGACTGAAAGCATTTTACTGAGTATTTGGAGGACTGGTACCAATTTACATGGTTGTGAGCTTGTGGCATTGGAATTGACTGTCTGAAGGTACTTATCAAACTTCAAGAAATGTTCTGGGTATCTGAACAAGTTGTGTTTATACTGCAGAGCACTTTAGGCTGGATGCCCTTTTCAGGGGAAGATTCATTTTGAAAACTCTTGTTAGTATTAATTTTGGGTTACAGGTCATATTAATCTCTAAATTTTATGAATATGTAAGAAAATTGCGAAATGCTGTGTAATGTGATTCATTATGCTGGCAGCAGTTCTGAGGCCAAGAGGAAAGAATAGCTGGAAAAGGCCTTTCAACACAATGGACAGCACCATGCTACTGTTCAGGAATGTGTATAGTATTAGCAAGTCATGTCTTCATGCTAGCAGACAATTCTGTTGGAGTTCTAATATAGTTCATTCTTATGCTTAAGCTTGTCACTGCAAGGAAGTTTTAAAATCACAGATTATTTTGCTGCTTTTCTTGAAAAGCTCTTTGAATTTTATCTATTTTTTTTCCTGCTTCACAATGGCAAATACCCATTTCTCTACAAAAATACAGATTTTTCTACTATAAAATAGTAAACAGACAGTTCTTAGATAAGAGGATTGCTCTTGGAAGTTTGCTGGGGCTTTCACTTGTGCTATGTATTTTTAGTTATTACAGTTGGACATCATTTTCCAGCCAGGATAGAGCTGACATTATACACAGAGAATCTTTGTTACCCCTCTGGCCATTTAGCTATACTTAAAGCAAGTGTAGACACAGTAAAGTTTTCAAATGCTTCATTCACAGTAGAAGAGTGGGAGTGAGTGACATAATCAAACAATGGACAGATATCCTAGTAAAACAGTTTTATCAAGTCACTGCACGATATCCATGAAATACCTATATACTTCTAAATCCTTGAATTGGCAGCTAGAACATAGAAAATGTTTGCCATGAGCCCCTTGCATTTCTCTTGCTCCTAGCCTGTTGCAGTACTGGTAGTCAGTTTTTAATTGCTTTACCACATCATGAGTTCTCACTTGTTAGGTTCCTTACCTGCAATTACCAAAATTCTGCTGGAAGCTTGTGGCAAAGCCACAAACTGAATTCAAATCAGCTGACTCATGGTTTAGAAGCCACAGGGGGCATTCTCCTGTGTTTCTTGGTGGTTTTCATTTTAATTTTTTTTTAATTTCAAAGCTCTTTGGGGTGATATTTTTAGGCATTTTCTTTTCCTTGAGGTAGTTTAAATCCTTTTGTTATGTTCATGTTGCCTTTACTTCACAAGTGGTTTGAAAACTTCAAATACTTAATAAGAGTAACCTACCAGGAAGCATATGATTAAGGAAGACAACGGAAATCCTTAACATATGTTAAAATTCAGAGCTCTTGACTTAGAAAGAGACACAGATGCAGGTGAAGGAATGTAAAACACAGGATGGATAATACCTGTCTTTCAGTAAACAAAAGAAAGCTTCAGATTGAAATTGGGAAACAGTAAATTCAGAGCTATACTGGTTTTGTATTTCAGTAGGAGAGTAAATATATTTTATCTACAGTAAATACCCATTAGATTTTGGGGGTTGAAAAGGAGAAGGAACAAAGAAAAAGGTGTCATAGGAGTGACTTTGAAAAAGGGTTGGTAAATTTAAACAGAAGCCCAGCTGAATCAGAAGTTGTCCTTTCGCAGAACTTGTTAGCAGTGAGGTCTGCTTTGGCCAGCTTTTCCAAATACCTTTTTCATCTTGGCATGTAGACTAGCTTTGGAGATGTGCAACATTGGAACAGATGCCAAAAGCCCAGAGCTGTCATTTCAGCTTAATTTCTGGCATCTGAGGATGCAGGAAGTGTAATAGACATTTTACTCGTCTTCAGGTGGCATGGCTCTCCAGGTTACACCTGTGTGAGTCTCCAGAGCAGTGTTACTCCTTAGGCTTTCATTTAACTCTCCTGATGGAGAACAAGATTGTGTTTTCACAAGTGATTTGCTGCTGTTCATTCTGCTGACTAAACTACAAATGGCAGGTTCTGTCTGCAGTATTAAATTCCAAAGTAGACTGTGCATTGAAAATAACCTTTAGGCTGCCAGCAGAGGCGATTCAGAGGTAGAATGAGGCTTTGTCTTTCTGATGTAAGAGCTTAGGGTAAAACACAGCATTTGATGTATGCAGTAACCTTTCCTTAAAAAAAAGACTGCTGAGTGTTGGCCAGTGCATTTAAAATACTGTAATTATCTGTCATAAAGAACTGTCATTATTTTTGTTGCATGTATTTAATGGCTAATCCAGTGAGGTTGGGGCCTGATCATAAATAGTAACAGTAGTTATATAATACATCCAGAGCTGTGAGCACCTGATGTTCTGCACAGATGAGGGCTGTCTGAAGGACAGGAGAAGGACTTCGTTTCTTGTGAGCAACTCGGCATGGCAATATGTCACATCCAATAAAGCAAATGCTGAGTGTAAACTTCCGCATGGAAAAGAGTAAGTTTTATCAGCCTGGCTGATCAGTAGTTCCTTGAAACAGTTAGGAGCATTAACCATTCTGTGCTGAAGAAAGCATCAGAAGCAAGGAAAGATCACATTTTCAGGCAGATGTGTCCCTCTGCCATTTGCCCCTTTGTGCTTTCTGCTTTGCTGTTTGGTGTCTCAAGGGTTTCAGCCCGGGGTGTAAATGAATATGGTTCTTACGGGTGGCTGTTGCAACAAAACTTCAAGGAGGCTTTTCCAAATGAGGTAACAGCAAGTGTGTGTGTGTCTTAGTTCAAATAAAAATACTGTCAAGAGAGGGAAAGTAGAAATGAGTGCTTTAGTTTTGATCACAGAGAAAATTACTTCTGCTGTGTTTCTAATCTGACTGTGTGATCTTGCTTTGATGCCTGTCAGTCTGGTTTGCAGTGGTGCCCATTGAGGAATGGTTTGAAAATTGAGTTTCTTGCACTGAAGTGTATTAACCTTTGAGCAACTTCTTGTCTTCCTTGCTGTGTGATGTCTGCTGCAGAGCAGAACATTTGTGGAGGTTCTCTTTTTTACTGAATAGGAAAAGAAGTATGGCAGTCTTGCATGTTATTTATGAAATGTATAACCTTGTAAAAGCCTTGTGTATGTATTGTGACTTACTTTCACGTCAGAATATTGATGTCATGTGAGAGTCCCTTCTCAGGGGTGAACCAATTTTAAGTACAGCTAGACCTTGAGGAAATTAGAGGGATTGCTGTTTTGAGGACTTCTAAAAAAGGGAGAGAGACAAAACTGCTGTTATTGAAACTGTGATCTCTTGATCTCTCTTTGTTTGTTGGTTGCTTTTTAATCTGTTGTAGTTTTATTTCTTTTTTCCTTGGTGTGAAAACTTTCCATCCTGATTTTGTACTGCTCATTGGAAGCAGACACTGTCAGATTCGTTGGCACTGCAGCTGAGCAGGCACACTCCCTTCCAGGAGGAGCTTTGGCACATTTGTCTGGTGCCTCTGATCCCCAGGAGGTTCTGGTCTGCTGTCCTTGAACTGCAGTCTGTAATTCAGGATGACAATGGTGGTATTGGTACCCTCGCTGTCTGACAAGTCACCTGCTCCCATAGCTGTGGTAAAATGGGTTTTTTAATGACATTTCCCCCCAACCCCATGCTCAATCATCAGTCTCTCAGCATACTTCAATTTCAGTTTTTCCTATTACAGAGGAAAATTCCAGAGACTTCCCATATCCAGCTTACAGAGGGAAGATGCTCCTCCTGAAGCTTGCATTTTTTTCTGGCCTCTGAAAATTGCTTCTCCCCACAGCACACTGAAAATATGTTTTAAAATTTTCCCCTGCCACTCTAAATCAGATGTCTTTTATTTGTTTCTTTCACAGATGGTTTTTCAAGTCTAAAGACTTTATTCTTTTCTTCATTCTCAAGATAAGGGCAGTCTGCAAAGACCTCCATTAGCTTATTTGCTCCAAGAATCTGGTTTAATGACTGATTCATATTTGCCCATCTTATTATCTTTGTGCTTCTGTTGGCTGTCACTAAAACTTTTCCAGTTTCAAAGGTGACGCTTGCTTTCTTACTTTAAAATTGCTTGTCAAAATGAAAGCTGTTTATACAATCCACCAATATTAACTTTCATTTTACAAAACTGAAAAAAACAGTTACTTGAAAAAGAAACAACCTTCTTCATGTTCCTTTGTGTCTGGTATGTCTGCATATATTGTAATCTTCTGGGCATCCACGGAATACTCCTGTGGGTTATCATAGACCAAACATGGTCTCTGTCACCAATACCATTTGACTGAATTTGCAGCCAGGTAAATTCACAGTGATTTACTTTTATTTTGACAATAAACATATATGTATCTTTCACATAAAAGCTCTTTCAAGCAAAGAAGCTTTATCATTGATGTGTTATTTTACAATTTTGTCTTTTTTGCAGTAATTCAGATTCTGTCCAGTCTCTCTGTAGTAAGCTGCTTGTATTTGAGGGAAATGTATTTGATCCATGAAATTGTGATGAAGGCCAGGCTTAGGGAAGAAAGTTGCTAGACTCTAATAGCAGCATGTCTGATCAGGCCCTTGGAAGTTTAGGCAGGGAAAGCTGTTTCCTAGACAAGAGTGTAGAGTGAAGTTTAATTAGTGTTTACGTAGTCTCCTTGGTATTTGGTGCATTGCTGCTGTCTTTAGCTTTGGGCTTTCTGAGGTGAGCCTGGGGTTTTTTTTGGCCATTAAGAGCTGCAGCTGCAGTGCCCTTCATCTTCGTGACAGGCATTATGCCAGTACATTAATTCTGAAAGCAAGTAAAGAGAAGAAGAAAGAAGGAGCCCAATGTCTTCCAGTCACAGTTGAATCACAGTTTGACTGATTCCTGTTGTTATGCTTTCTGGGGTATGTCAGATACATGTTTCCCCTCTGAGGTATGTGCTGACTGAATGTCCTTCCTAGGCTGTTGGCTTGGCAGGAAGGGAGGCGTTACTAAGCAGAGTTTTGAACTCACCTTTATAATTTTGGCACCAGTAGAAAATGCATAAATGCATAGTTTAAAACAAAAATCTGCTGTTTATGTTGTAAAAAATAAGGTCCTGTCTCTCATCAAGGCAGTTATGAATATTGCAGTGTAGTGGCTAAATAATACATTCATAGTTTTTCTTCAGTGAGCATAATTGACTTGCCGAGCAGTAGCTTTGATAGTTCTTAACCATATTTTCACCCAAGTGTGTGGTTAATGAGAGCATTATGTGACCTAATCATGTAACCTTTCACATTAATACGAATCTTGTTTATAATTCTCTTGATTGTTTTGTTGACCCAGTACTTTGGTTCTGTGTTCAAATTATGTTAACTTTAAATGAAAATATTTCTTGTCTCACAGAAATCTAATTTCTATGCACATTTGTCAGTAGTGAATACTTAGTGGGAGTGATTACTCTACAACTGCTCGTGCCAGTATACCTCTGGGAGGATAATCAATCTTGTGCTTTTTAATTGACATCAATAATATGTTTACATTTATCAATATTTCTTAATTGTCAAGTTATAACTGTGGAACTTCAATAATAAATCATACCAATGGATAACTTCATACATTAGATTTTTAAGAGTCTCCTTAAACATTCTGACATGTTGTAAATTGCTTTTAAAATGATGTATATATACTCATGGGGGAAGAGCATTAAAAAATTGGTATGCAAAGTCATGCTGTCAAATAATACTGCAGAACTGGCCCATTGACAGTAACATACCTTTACCACATGTAGGATGTGCTTTACGGGAAGAAGAGGGGAGTAAGTCTTTTCAAACTGCTTGTTTTATTACTAATAATGTTGTGACTGTGACAGTGCTCATACATTTGTTGTGTCATCCCCAAGGAATTGTCAGGGCTGTGACTTTTTCCATTCAGCTGTAGAGGCAAGACAGAGGACAGAAAAAATTACCAGTTCTACTGCTCCTCTGCAGAAGTAGCAGTGAGCTGTGGAGATCAAGGCATCCCGATTTTGGTGGTGTCCTTAAGATACTGAAGTGGAAATGAAGGAGGTTAGCTGTGTTTAAATAAAAGCATATGTTTAAAGACTTGGGTGCACAGGCAAACAATTATTCGCCCAAGTTCACAAAATATGTTTACAGCAGGAATTAAGGTGTGAAAGTCCACGTCTTAAAACTGTACCTTCATCATCTGCCTCGCTCTGTTCTCTGTCCCTTTTAAACCCAGGGAGCAGTATTCTGAAGAAGGAAATCTGTACAGACAGAAAGCTGGCAGGATGCTGACCACATTGTGTCAGTTTTACCTTGTTTTATGGGCTACATCCAAGACAGTATAAGAACTAAAAACCTTGCCTAATGAGAGGTAAAGAAAGAAGATGATGCTGTTTTCTAGGTAAGTGAAAACCAGTGTGAACACCAGGAACATCAAGGCTGGTTTTTATTTGAAAAGACTAAGTATTAAATATCCCAGTTTAGGCTGGGAGCCATTTTGTTGACTTCTTGCAAATGTCATAAGTCATAAATTAAACCTCTCCCTCCTTTTTTGAATGAGACAAGACTGATAAGAAACAGCTATTATACAAAATTATAGTAGTTACGAAATCCAATTACATTTAAAGCAAGTGTGTGTAATCAATCTCTTTTGAAGGGTAAAGCAATTCACGAGAGAAATCCATTGGCACTTTCTTTAGCGTAGCAGATTAAGTACCTTCACGTTGCATGTGGAGGGCTTTGCAGTAGGTTGCTTGTGTGAATAAGTGGTACTTAGGTTCAAAAGCAGACATCCTGGAGTGCAGCCGGTCTGCCACGTCAGCCCAGACACTGCTGCACAGGTTCTGAGCTAGAGGTTATTCACATCCATCCATCTAGAAAGGTAGACTTGGGGCAGTGTATGAATGTGTGAACAAACACAAGTCTTTAAGAAATTGTGACCTTTCAACAGCATTCAAATTCTATTTGTGTTTTTGGATTCAAAGCTGCTAAGGTTCTTGAGATGTGTAAGAAACTAAACTTAGTGTGGCTGTGTGGTTGGTTGACCCTGGCTGGACACCAGGTGCCCACCAAAGCTGCTCTATCTCCTCAGCTAGACACGGGAGAGAAAATACCATGAAAGGTTCATGGATTAAGATAAGTCAGAGAGAGATCACTCACCAATTACTCTCATGGGCAAACCAGACTCATGTTGGAGAAATTAGTATAATTTATTACCAATCAAATCAGAGAACGGTAATGAAAAATTAAACTAAATCTTAAAAATGGCTTTCTTCCACTCCTCCCTTCTTCTCAGGCTTAAAATTACTCCTGATTTTCTCTACCTCCTCTGTGCAGAGGCTGGGAAATAGGGGCTGCAGTTAGTTCGTCACGCATCATCTCTGCTGCTCCCTTCTTCTCAAAGGGGACTCCTCACACTCTTCCCCAGCATCACCGTGAGGTCCCTCCTGCAGGAGACAGTCTTTTATGAAGTTCTCCAGTGTGAGTCATTCCCACGGGGTGCAGTCCATCAGGAACAGAGAACAGACTGCTCTAGCTTGTG